CCCCCCTCCCCCCCCCCCCCGCACAGCACGCTCCGACTGAGTTACCAGGTCCTCGTGCCGGCCGTCCTCGCAGCACGTGCGCATGAACCCCGCTTGGTCGCAATAGCCGTCGCGGTACACGCCGTGGGTGTGGCAGCTTCCCCACGTGTCAAGCAAAGTCATCGCCTCGCTCTCTGTCCGGTACATCTCTTCCACCGCCCGCGCCGGTACCGTGGCGTCGTCCCGCAACGTGGGGATCCCCCGATCGAAATGAAAAGATTTATACGCCTCGGTGTCCTAAGTTTCCCCGATCATGCGCGCCGTCATCTGCGAATACGCCCGCGTCAGTTCGGCGGGGATCCGCACGTGCTTGCCCTTCTTACGCGTTCATGTCAGCCCGTTTAAGATGAACACCGACAGATTAGCCAACATTTGCGCCACGTTCAACTTCAACCCCCCCGCCTTCGCCACGACTCGAATGGCAGAGCCGCGCGTTTGAGGTGTCACGTTCTTGAACTGTAGTTGCTCGAGCTTGTTGTAGTGCGCACATGCGATGCTCGTACCCTTCTCTTAGGGGAGATCGTTCGTGCCCGTGGAATAGACGTCTTCGCTGATGATGAGTTTCTGCCATGCGACTTCTTTCGAGAGACAGTGCGTTTCCATAGTCTTTCTGTCTCTTTCATATCTCGCGGGCTGAATTCCGGAAGCGCGTCGCCTGGCACAGTGAGGAAACTGACAAAGGGCAAGTCTATGCCGCTGACTTCTGGGGAGAGTGCATTTCAGGCAGGCCCCCATACCCAGTTGTTCCCCTCTGCCTCTTGTGTGTACTAACTAGCACTTTCGAATGCTCTAGAAGCCCTGTACGCCCGTATGTGGGCTCTCTTCCCCGTGGTGGGCAACGGTGACAGGGGGAAAGGGTGTGCGAATGCTGCTGCAACTATGCAGCACCGAGCCGAAATAAAGATGAAATGAGCAACTATTTAAGAGGACTGTTCCTGGAAAAGATATCTAAAGAGAAAGAGCAATAATTCGGGTTACACAAATAGAAGAATCTAAGACGGAAAGCATATCAACGATTGCGTTCTGATCCTATGGTTGTATGAAATGAAGTTCGCATGTAAAACATGTGGATTGAACAGGGGATTCCAGAGGAGCGGACATGACTTTTGACTTAAGGAGCAGCCCCAACGAGTCTGCTGAATACTCACTGAGAATAAGCTGCCGTAGATGATGTTCCGTCTCATATCTCTACCAACCTTGAGGATAATTATTCCATTTATCCGTCTCTCGCTCTCTTTGTTGTGCTACTTGTTGTGTGCGTTGTTGTTGTTCTCCGCTAGTTTCGCCAAAAATGCCCTTCGTCATGAGCGGCGCATTTTGGGAGATCTTTCAGCGATTGTCCCACACAAGTACTACGGAGGTGATTTTGCAAGAAGACGATGTAAAATATGGACACACAATACAAAACAAGAACAAGGAAAAAGACTGCTACTGAGAATATCCAACGAGGGGTAAAGTCAGCGATTGCATCACGCGCGATAAAGAAGAATAAATTTGCGGAACCGGGCAACAACATGCTTTCTGAGCGATGCGATTCGAAAAGGACGCAACTGAACTATAGTGTCTATTGGACCTTTGTCCTCATAATATGAGGACATTATTCGACCTATTTTATTCTTGACTTCGCTTCCTCCACAAGAAAGAAAAAGATACCCCCGCCGCCATACTTGACTTCTGACTTGGGGACAGAAAGATCTTTGTGAGAATTGCATGTTCTTCGTGGTCGTTTTTAGATATGTCTGGAAAAGAAGCTTTTTGAACCACCTTAAAACCGAATGAAAAATAACTTCGAAACCAAAAACGCCATTTTAAAAAGGGAACTGTGTACTCAATCTGCATTACCAGTGATGAGAACCCCGGGAAACGATGAGGTCTAGTGTCTATCGGACCGTTAGTCTTCATATCCCTGATGTTCCATGTGGTCAGTATACTGGACATAACGTAAAAATTAAAAAAAGTCAGATTTGCTCTAGTGTCCAGTATACTGGCCACAAGAGCGTTTTTAAACAGTCCATGGACGGTCCATTAACTCCATATTACAGAGGGTGTAAGACACAAGTTAATCTCATTCCACGAGAGTCGTCTTACAAGAGGCACCTTGAATTTCAATATTCCAAATCGGATAAATTTTCGAGGAGATACAACCAACCCCCTCCTCCAGTACTTGACAACATCAGCCCCTCTGAACTTTCTCCCTCAAATGGCTTCTCGTGATCTCATCGACGTTTTCATCGAGGATGATTCTACTCAAATGAATGTGCAGCAGCCAGTGGACGCAGTTGTACAAGGCGCTGTTAGCGTTTCTGGGCTGGATGCAAGCACCCCTGTACCGATGGCGGAAGGTGGCCCAAACTTGAGCCCTTTATCCAGACGAAGAGGGCGTGGAACGAGATATACCGCGACGACAGGCCAGGAACGAGCATTAACAGGCGGCATAACGCGCCGTGGGAGAGGGACAGGTACGGGTAGAGTCCGGGGCGGGGGCGCAGACGGGGCGCAGACGGGGCGCAGACGGGGTCGAGGAAGGGGGAGAGGTCGTGGGCGGGGCAGCTCTGCCCAGAATAATTCACATGTTCGTGACCCAAGCATCGGATGGACAGAAGTCAGGAAGCCTTGTTCTTCCGTAATGATGGAAAGAGAATTTACTGGAAGCATGATAGATGAGCGGGCGAGACTGTTTTGCAAGTCCGCCATTGTGAACATGAAAATGGAATGTACTGCAAAATGTCTATCCCTCACGAGGGTTGGGCTTGTGGTTTTATTTATGAATGATGTCCTAAAGCAATGTGTGCAATGGGTTAACGAGGGACTTGCACTGCGGGGTGACAGTGAGACAAAGGTGACACTCGCGGATGGATACCTCTATGTCTCAATACTGCTATTTTCGCATTGTACGGGGTTCAGTTTTGAGAAGGCCATTTCTATTCTACGTTTATCTGGAAGCATTTTTCCATCATTGTAACAGGCACGCTTCTTTGCAACTAACATTCTCACTTATTCTCCAACAGGGAGAGGGAATGATGGCAATTTTGTTTGGCAGTCGCAGCGGGACCAAACCAGGCAACTATCTGACTTCGAAACGTTGGCATTTAAGGAAACCATACGGGTATTTCTCTCCCCACTGCACCTTTTCGCAACTTTACATGATGACCTTTTTGAGACAAGGGCTGGTGATAATCAAGTGAAAATGATAAGTAGTCGGAAAGCCGATAAACAGGGCCATGCAGCCGACACGATCGCAGATGCATTGTTCAGAGTCCTATTGGGTATACGTTTCAGGCGCAGAGGTGAGAAACAATTGGACTCTGTTCGGAAACTGATCAACACTCTTGTCGATGGCCGAGGAGAGGAATCTCTAAGTGGTTGTTTTGTAACAGCCGATGGAGGGTATGGGAAGGAGGTGTTTATGCAAATTCTAACGAATCACAAGCTGGGTTTTAAACTGGTCATGCCAGAGCACTTGACAAAATGTCATCCTTTTGTTGCACGTTCTTTTCTGAAGCCATTTAGAGACGATGACATAGAGAAATTTGAGAGCGATCCACTACCTACAGAAGAGGTGGTACACGGACCAAGTACCCCGAGGGATACTCCGTTGTCAGAAGCCGTGTCTCCAGTCCCTAATGTACATAATGAACAAGGCATTTCTAGTATTGTAGACGGCGGTATTAATTCAACTGTGGAGGGACAAGGAACTGTTGGGGCTGATCAACACCAGGCTAATGACCGCCGTAAGAATTTCAATATTGATGATTCTCCAGGGCTTGGACCAGCATCTTTCTCTGCGCGTAAGCGAGTGCCCGAGTGTGCGAGGCTGGGAATACAAAAGGTATCAGCAATAGCTGTTCGTGAGCATGGAACAGAAAAGTATGGAAAGGTCCTATGGTTCCTGTACACTGTACCAGAACATGTACAGGACCGGTTGCATACGTGTTTAGCAGATCCAGAAGCTGGAATGAACACCATTCGCACTTTATTCGGGAGTGGAGGATCTGAGAGCAATGTTTTAAAGGCGGATTTAGAGACCCACCTTTCGCCTACATGTGAGATATTGACAGTTGTTCAACGGTGCGCCGACTGGTTTGTGCTCCGTCAGTTTAGGGTGACGGGGACAAATGCTGGAATTGTGCTGTTGAAAAGTTCTGTATTCAGAACAATAATAGGCCTCGAAACTACAGATGCACATAATGAATTGACGTGTAGGGAGTTGTTTGAAGTGTTCTTCAAGGGATGTTTCAGTTCCAAGGTTTCCACGGGAGCAATGATAAAAGGGAGTGCGAACGAAGGTGCTGCTTTAAGTGCTTTAACCTCTTTGCCATTTATTGTGACTGGATTTGAGTGCGGCATGCTGGCAAGGAAAAATACCCGATACTTGGCCTGCTCCCCAGATGGTATAGCAGTGGTTGACGCGCAAATATTACAGAAGTTTAACACAGAGGAGAGTCACCTTTTGACCGAGAATGGGATACCACTTGTGCTTGCGACGGTTGAAATCAAAACAAGGGTAGCCTCCAGAAGTTTAAACACTGCACTAGAGCTAGTTGTAGTACAATTCTGTACCACAACCGCCACGGGGAGATGATAACCGCGCGGGTGGACGGCTGTTACTGTGGCGAGCGGGCGTACACGCGCCCGCCGCCGTGTACAGTAGTACCCCAAGGGTCCGACGTGGGACAGCCGGTAGCACCGGGCGCGGCCACCGGTCACACGTGGTACAACCGTCGTGGGACAGCCCGTAACAGCGGGCGTGGCCACGGGTAACACGTGGTGCGACCGTCGGTCGGTATCGTGGCCATGGGCACACGTGTATAATCCGTATGGTGGCTAACTAGTAAGTAGTACTTAATGGCACAAATTAAGTAATTGTGTACAGTAGCTGGTACACAGTAAGTGGCAGCTACTGTAGCGGGACAGGTGTCCTGGCGTCCCATTTAGTGGTTAAGACCGGGGACACCTGCCTGTCCCAGTAAAGAGGAGGCAGACTCGCCTCCCTTCCCTTTACGACTAATTGCTATCCCGTTCCGGTTTCCCTTTTAGTCTAAGGCTTCGAACCCGTGACCGGCCGAACGGATCTAACACCACCGACTGGCTGCGCGTCACTGGCTGCGTGAGCCATCTCTCTTTTCGAGTCCATCCGTGCGGTTTGCGTTCGCGCGTGGGTTACCCAGCGGCGCATGCTCCCTTACCTCTAACCCCCCTCGTTCCGAGTGGTCGGGACGAAGATAGTTATACCACACTAGTAATAGGCGATGCTGTGTTTTGTGAAATCGGAGATGAAACAATTCAAATATGCATTCCAGAATCGCATACTGCCCAAGTGCTACATCAAATGATGACATTACACGTTAATGTGTCCATTTACCTAGCTGCAGGAGAGACATGGCTTCTCTAGGCGGTTTATATGCATTGTTTGGATGTTCATTTGGCTACTTGTCAATCCATTTTGACTGCACAAACTTCAGAACTGGTGCAATGGGCATACATAGAGGGGAGAACCGTCCCAGATTTTGTCAATCATGAATACAAGGAGTGTGTAGTGTCTAGGCATCAGTTTTGGAAACTGATCGATGACCGTGTCAAATTAGGTGGCCCTTTCCCTCCCTTGAAACTCTTCAAGCACGCG